TTAAATATAAAAAGGTAAAGTAGGTGCTCTTTACAGCATAGATTGCAAAACAATGGGCCTGGTCTACATTTATTCACAGTGCTTTGCAAAACACACACCGCAAGCCTTCATTGCAATAGAGTGTTCAGAACACTGCTTACGATTTGAGGTTTCACTTTTGCTCTCGGGTGCGGAAGATATTTGAACAGCATTCTGAATGGGTGAGATAACACAGCACCTCGCCTCACCTTGTCCCACTTCGTCTCGCCTTGCCTACAATTCTTAAGTTGATCATCTGTCATAATGAAGCAAAATTAAAAGCATATGTATGTGCTCCTAATGCATATTATTTTTCTGTTTAGAGCTCGTACCTCTGCAGGCTGCATTAAAGTCTCATTTAAATATTGAATTGATTTTGAACTTTTGGTCATTATAGTAAGATGCATTGATACATCAATGCATCATTTTTTTTTCTCCCACCTAAACATATGCTATTTGTAGTACCTACCTATGTTTAGTGCAGTTGAAAAGGTAACTTGTTTGGAGAACACTACCTTTTGACCATTAACAGAATAGAAATAGGAGTCATAATTAATAAGATGTTGGGTTAAGACAAGATTATCAAACATGAAACATTTGATGTTAAAAAAAATAACCTCATAGACTCATGGTTGTGAGTAAGCAAGTTTAACAACTTTACAGATGCCATACACCACTAACTATTTGACAGGGTAGCCCAGGCTCACATAGTCAAAGGCCACTGGTGTTAAACTTTTGAACAGGGTAGCCCAGGCACACATAGTCATATAACACACTAGTGTCTATACATTCAGCATAGTAACCCAAGCACACATATATAGTAAAATATTTAGATGTACCACAACAGTATCTTGGCATATTCGTTTGTAAAATCTTTGTGTGTCTGTCTTTCTTGTTAGGTAATTCTATGTGTTTTATGTGAGCAGAAAAAGTAACAGTGAGTCTTACATGTTCTTACAAACATGCCTTTTGGTTTTTGCTTCGCAGCAGCAAAAATCAACTGTGTAGCAGATCAAAACCAAATTCAGGTATTTCATTTACCAAATAAACACTGATTAATTCAGAAACGAATCATCTTTGAACAAATAATTTAAACATTCACTCAGTCAGTTAATTTAATTAGTTCACTTAGAAATAAGTAAAATATGACTGAGTTGTAATCATTCAGTAACTATTTTGGCTAATTTGTTTAAATGATTTGTTCAGGAACTAATTAAGCATATATGAGTCATCGATTAATTCACTCAATTAATTGGTATAAAACAAAAATTCAGAAAGTAGTCAAGTTCTATTTAGTATTATCAGTAATTATTTGAACAGATTTATTAAAAACCCTACTCATTCAGAAAAGAATCCAGTAAATATGTTATAAACGTATCAATTTAATGAATTAGTTGTTAATTATAACAATTTATTTAGAAACAAATTATGTATGAGGGAGTAATAATTGTTCATTAACTAATAATCATTTAAACTGATTCATTAAATGCACTTATTGATTTAGAAAGTAAACAATTAGTAATGAGTTACTGAATCTTTTATTCACTCCACTTGCATGCTGCTAGTGGATTTTCATTCATTGCACTGTTGTTTGAACGCAGTAGTGCTGTTTTTGCAAATATCATTACACTTTCAGTTCTCATGCTTGTTCCTTATTAAATGTACAATTGTTTGTTGTAAATTAGTAGTACTTACAGATTTTTGTTGTACTAATTAACATGTGAACCAACATCCAAATGTCTCAGATTCTCTTATTAAAAGTGTGGTTCTGGTACTTGAATGTATGCTGGAGAATCATAACATTTACTTACCGAGCCTTGAGGTGTTTAGTTTTGTGTCCTGAAGGTTTTAACATAGTTGAGTTGAAGTACATCTCAGAATACTATGGTACTTTTGTCTTTTTCAAGAGCATCTTTTTGTGTAATTGCAGTATGAGTCTGTATAAAAGCCCAATTAGAGCATCAAGTTTTTCTTCCATGAAGCGCATTAAAAATGGCCAATTAAACCTGCACTGGCTGATTCTGATTTACTCGCTAAAGTCATTTATTAGAGCAGCTCTTTCAGTCTCCCACCTTTGCGTTGCTTTTTTCATTGTTCTTTATCTCTTGAATGAGCTCGTCACTCCATCTTCATCTCTGTAAAGGTTATTTCTCATTATCAGTGAAGCGTCTGACTTTCTGTTCATCATTAAAGCATATTCTTCCACCACGGCCCTGCAGATGTAATATCAGTTGCCACAAAGATTGCAGCTTCCCTCTTAAACTCTAAGACTGCTCTCAGACACATTCACCAAACATGCAAATAAGACACACAGCAGCCCGCCGGATAATCATGTTACAGCTTTCAACAGTTCCTCTTCCTCCGACTGAGTATAAGATGTGGATTTAACAACGCCAGAGGTTGAGCTGCTTCTGTTCTCATTGGCATATGAAAGCTTTCAAAATCGAGCTGATGAGGGAGGAGGCGTTTAAAACAGCTGATCCGCGTCTGCTGTGTCACTGATACACTGACTTCAGGAAAACAGACATTTGGGGGGAAATATGATTAACAAGTCTAGTGTCTTGCGGCTCGGCTGTATCTGATTTTGTCTTAAAATGCAATCATCTTTGATTTGAGCTTTGATTAAAGGCTCAAACACATCTCATGATATATATCTAGGATTACTTCTCAAGTACGTCATGCACAAATGTTTTAATTTTAGTACATTGTTGTATAGATGTGTCTTGAAATCTTTGTGTCTTATATTTTAGTATAATATTAAGTATAATATTGGGATCAGATGGACATCATCAAGCGTCTCCATCAATAAGAGCATTTAGAATGGGCCTAATGCTGGCCTCACACAAAATGTGAAGCTCTGTGGCACTCACTCTAGATTACTCGCGGTATTTTTTTTTCACTTTAAGCAAATGTTTATTTTTTATTATTTGAACGCAGTAGTTAGAATTGAGATTCATTACATGTGTCTGTGACAAACGTCCAGCTCATTTGCATTGCCAGGCAGAAATTTGCCTTTATTTGCATATATTGTATTCGATCAAATACAGTGTTGCCTCGTAATTTGCGGGAGTTACATTCTAAAAATAACCTGCAATAGGCGAAAGTCAGCTTTATTTTTTTTACAATTATTATAGATGTTTTAAGGCTGCAAAACCCCTCACTACACACCCAGACAGGCATTAACCTTTTCACACTTTTCAACACTCTCAAAGTTCAAACTTTCATATAAAAAATAAGTCCAGTATTATAGAATGAAACTAAAGACCAAAACCCATAGGTCCATCGTCGCTCAGCGGATGCTCCACCACATGACAGTTGGAAGTAACACACACCGCATGTGTTTATTCTCATGTTATTTAAAAATGAAATTATTCAGAAGCCGCTCTGTGGCATGACAGAAATCTGAAGTCGTAGCTGAGCACTGCAGACAGCCGCCGACTTGCGGTGCAGGTGTATACCCTGATAAAAACCTATGCTTACAATTCCAAAATAAATGGCGCTGCGTGGCATGTAGCATCTGGTGTGTGTCCCCATTTACGATGGTCTTGCTGCGGACAGTTTTGCATCCTTGTTGGATGGACAATTTATGTTAATATGGCAAGCTGAATGCATTTTGTACTGTACAGGAGACACGGAGAAGATTGATTGGCGATGATCTACAGCCAATCAGGACTTAGAACACAATGTGCTGTAAAAAAAAGCAAAAAAAAAAAGCAAAAGTACTAAAATTGCACTAAAATAATCGACAAAACTGTGAGGCCATTAAAGGTGAATTGCGCTATAGCGAGGCACTACTGTATTTCATTACATGCAATGATTTTGTAATCTACTTACACAAATGCTTAATTGCTGAAAGGGGACTTATAATACAATAATCATTTAATCACCCTCGTTAGCGTTAACAGCCCTGAGTGAGAAGCAGCCGTCCAGCATTAGTTTTTGCACAGTACCTGCTGAAAATAATTTCAGCGACTAACAGGATCCTAAATGTTGAGTTTTAAGATGCACAAATGAACTCTGTATTCTTTGTAGGCTGCCTTCTCCTGAGACACATCTTTTCACATTTTCCGTTTTTTACAACAATAACATTTGTCCTGTTTTGAATCTGCCACTATGTTGATATATAGGCGTTTGTAGCTCTACCTACTTTTGCACAATCTTTTAGTCTCATTTCTAATCTTCATTAATCTCATTTGAATTTAAAGCAACAGACACCAAAATTGCACAATTTGGATCAAACCCTGAAAGGGTCAGTTTCAAAAAAACATAAAACATTTTTTGCATGTTATTTTTGAGCTGAAACTACGTAAACACTTTAAGGACAACAGAGACTTATTTTATATCTTGTAAAAATGAGAATAATAGGTCCCCTTTAATACCTAATTTGTAACTGTTAATTATAAAAGAGAAAAGTGCTATAAAACACCTCAGTTTTTTCATACCACAACTTTTAAAACAAAAATTCACAATACACTGCTTTTAAATTTGATGTTGAAGTTTGCGTATAAGAACGTAATTAACCATGAATAATCACATGAGTTTTCTGCATTTAATTACAATTAATTTCATTCATATAATTTATACTGAATTATTAATGATTTTAAAAAATGCATTGTCATTGCGGCTGGTAGTAAAACATATGCTGGAATAGTTGGTGGTTCATTCCTCTGTAGTGACATCTCAAATAGAGACTAAGACGATGGAAAATGAATGAACGAATGTACAAATTATTTATTATTTCCAGCACTAATATATACATGGCAAAATAGTAATTTACAAGATACGACTACCATTTTTAAATTAGTGTTTTATTTTATTATATTAAAATGTAACGTGTTATAAATTATCTTCAGTGTTATATATGATCCTTCAGAAATCATTTGTAATATTTGTTACTTTTAATAATAGTTAATATACTTAATGTATAAACCCAATGCTGTTTACCTGTTATTGATCTTGGGTTTTGGTCTCTGTGTGTGCAGATCTGCTGGCAGTGCCGAAACATCCATATTCAGCCATGGAGAACTGGGGCCTCAGTGTGTTTGTGGAGCAAAAGATCTTGCTGGATCCCGAAGTCTCCTCCTTTTCTTATCAGATGGAGCTCACCGTGGTGGTGGTGCACGAGATCTGCCATCAGGTAAAACACAGTTACTTCTGGAACACAGCTGCTGTGTGATTATGCATTGTTTCAGTCACAGACAAACTTCATTTTGCCGGTTTAAACAAGGCTGTGATAACAATATCAGATGTGTTAATAATACATTATAATGGATTCATTTAGTCTAATTACATAATCAAATCACTCACTTTTCTGACACCTTGTGTTGCTCCTTTCGTGACCATTGAAGTGCTGCACCTCAATTTGAGATGCAAAACTTCAATCAACCGTGAAAATTACCCATTCTGTTGGAGACTTCCTATTTCACGCCTGTGCCAGATCACGATTCAGAAAATTTCTCATTTGAAAGAGGATGCTTTTTCTTTTTTAGCCATCATACATATTGAAAGCGCTTCGGTTTTGACTCTGCATGTCCCATCAGTGCAGTTTAGCGCCCTCTGAGGAACATAAAGCATCTGTAGATTCATAATTATATCAGATTTACTACCTCTCAGATGCAATTTTATCATCTAATTGCAGAAGACTGAGAACGAGAGATGGAAAATGATAGCTTGGGAGTTAGACAGTAACCGAATTTGTGAAGATGGTCAGTTGTTTAGATGAAGGGCAGAACAACAGCAGATGTAATTGGACATGCTGTGAATTTAATGCATGTCTTATATAAACAGAGCTTCACACATTAAATCCATTGAGATGGTGTTAGATTCTGTTTTTCACATTTTGGTTTGGTCTTTTAAGAGTGTTTTCCTCATACTCAAGTCTTTCTTGTGGTAAATAAATGTACTTTTATGTGTCTATGCATTGTTGCCGAATATTAAATGCAGATCAAATAATGAAAGGATGTTCAGTAAATGACTTCAAGTGCACAAATTCACCATTGGCATGGATTGTAGAGGAAACGGTGGAATTATCCCTTGCATGTGCTCATTTTTCACCACGCACGCTTTGTTTGCAGCTCTTGCGTGTCTGAGAACCTTACATTTTAGTGTCTTTTGTTATGGTGGGATTATTTATGAGCGCATATTGGAGATGTTCTGCGCTCTCCAGTATTGTTCTGGATTCATCTGTTGAATAGTCTGAATCACAGCTCTGCATTGTGCTCTAGGTGCCGCTGCTTTGATGAAAAGCTCATTGAGCGGGACGAAACAGCATGTCTGCAGCTCTTTCCTCTGTTCTTTTCATTTGTTTTTCTCTATTTTTTTTTTTTGTTTTATACGTTCAGAGATGGAAATAAAAGAAAACAATCCCCTCATCTCTCATTACAGAACAGATAATACAGCTCCGTCTGAACTCACTCTGAACCTTATACAGTAAAACATTCTCACAGGGAGCGTGAAATCATGATATTATTTCAGTAACAGCAATAACGTGAATATTTGATATTTTTAGAGCTTAAATTCATGAGGGTGGCCCAGATCATACTGTTCTCCATGTATAAAGCCCTGTTTTATGATCAGGAATAATTGAAAAGGAGCAGCCATGGAGGCTGGAACTATAAAATTGATCACTGTGATATTTAGAGGCTGAGAAGTGAAATATAGTCAATACTGTTCCGCAGTACATAAATGTCTCCATTGAATTCATGTTTATGCATGTGCACAAGTTGAAAACCAGTACATATGTTTATTGGCAATGTGTTTCTATTTTATGACTTGATCTTATCAACTTTCACTTTTTTTAAATAAACAATGCAATACATACAGTACAATGCTCCTTTTTCAGTGTGGCGTTCCCCAAGGGTCTATTTCGGGACCTATGCTTTTTGTTTTACATGTTTCCCTTAGGGTATATTTTCATAAAACACAGTATCTCCTTTTATTGTTATGTGAAAGATGTACAAATTTAGTTGAGTCTCAGTTCAGCCATTATTGAATTGCATGATAGAACTAAAATAAGGTTTGGATGATAACTTTGTTTGTTTATCCTGGGGTTTGGGTTTTTACATGTGCATTTATGCTGTTAGTAATTTAAGATCATGTTTTTATCCATTTACCAACAATCCTAATATGATTTTTAATAATACCTTTAGGTTTGACAAACAAAGCAGTTCACTAGTAAAAAAATGGCAGTTTCTTCCAGCAGAGACTGTTGGCTAAAGTCAAAACATACCTGCTGTGTATAAAGAATAAGTTTGAATTAATAATTATATTTTTTTATATATATATTTAAGCTAGACCACTGTAATTTTTTTATTTATTGAATTAGATCAATAGATTCTTCAGTGTTTACAGTGCGTAATGCAGCAGCTAGTCTACTGAAAAGTAACGAGCATATTACCCCAGTTAGCCACACTCCACAGGCTTCTATCTTAATTAATCTTATCTTAATTAATTAGACGTTCTAGTAGATTGTAATAGAAACTGTGTCAGTCCAGTTTTCAGAGTTGAAGTTCAGTTTAGTTCAGTTCAGTGTGGTTTAATTTTCACTGCTGAAAGTCCAAACACTGAAGAGCAAATCCTATTAACACTTTAACCATGTAGTCAGCCCAAATTATCTTTAAACATGTTTACTTATAAATAAGAAAAGGGAGGAGGGACAGAGAAATGAAGAACGGGAAGATAAAGTTCAGCCGTCATGCTAACTTCTGAATTCCACCACAGGCTGTTTTACCCCTTGTGTTTCTTCTCCCTTGAGCTTTTGCTCATCATTATTTTTTTAATTAAGATTCTTTTTTATATTCAGTCATTTTCATTGCTTCCCATCTTTCCAGACAGAGGTAAATGTCATTCTGCTAATTGTTTTCCAGTGTACATTAGCTCAGAGTGCACCAGTGGGAGGAGTTTATGCTCAGTTGACATACCGATTGACAGTTTTATTTTAAAATGCATTAGATTATTCCTCGTCCAGCACTTATTCTGTCATGTATTAAAAGGTCTGTCTGTGCGCTAATAACTTGAGCTGCTGGTAAAGTGCCGGCTTCTGATAAATCACATTTGTATCTCCTCTCTCTTTCTCTCTCTCTGACTGCCTGCAGAGAATTGATTAGTGGACGGCAGGCGCAGTTTGCTATTGTTTAGGTTTGTCCCGTGGGCTCTTTGGGTCACAGGATCACCTTTCACTATCATTTACTGTAGCTCTGAATTGTTAGTAGATTTGCCCCCAGCCAGCGATGGAGTTTATATGTCACAGCCATTCAATCACTGTAAATTTCTCATCTCATTTCAGCCTCTCAGAATTAAATGATGCTGCCACAGTCCTTCATATGCAGTTATTCAGCCAATAACACAAGCCCATTAGAGGCCAATACAACTGATGTTGAGCTTTCTTATTTTCCCACAGATTGAAGAGGGGACTTTCTGACCTTTGGTTATGAATATATTAAGAAAGTGAGAGGCGTCAGCTCTTTTACGTTGCTTTTAAAACAGTTAGATGTTAAATATGAGTTATGAAATATGAGGATAAATGGCTGTCAGTCTTGAGCCGTAATTTAGTCAAAACTGGAATTACATTTTTTATTTTTGCAATTTACATTTATACGTATTTACGTTTAAAACTAAATGTACATGTATTGTAGGTTTACTGAATTCAAATATGAAGAGGATGAATAGAAACGTTTGTTTTATTTGCATAGGCAGGAAGTGTGGTTATGGCTCTATTCCAAAACCTAATAAGCTGCCTTAGTATTTGCTGTCTGTATAGGCTGCCATCATTGTGGTTAAGATTCATACATTACTGATGTAAAACACTGTACGGTACAGATACTAATTCAGTTAGCATAAAGCTATATGCTTAAGCTTTTGACAAACACTTTTAAATAGTGGAAGAAATATATATATATATTTTTTTTCAAATATTTTAATGTTAAAATACATACACTCTCAGAAATAAAGGTACAAAATCTGTCACCGTGACATAAAAAGTACATATTTGTTCCTTACAGGTCTTTAAAAGTACATATTAATACCTAAAAAGTGCAAATGTGTACCTCAGTACCTTAAAGGTACTAATGTCCATCTTTATGGTATGAAAAGGTACCACACCAGTGACAGATTTTGTTTACTAGAGGTGTGAACCTACACTGGTCTCACCATTCAGTTCAGTTACGATTATCATTCCATCTGTTCGGTTCAATATGATATCTCAGTGCATCACGGTGTATTGACAATACTTTCCATTACCATTTAATATTTTACTTCACAGCTCAATAATTTTTGTATTAAAATGTATTACTTTTAAATACATTTTATATGTATTTGTAACACAATTTTGTCCATTAATACAAGCACACAGATATATGAGCTGTACCATTAATTTTACCTGCTCAAAGAAAACACTCTTTTTGATTGTATTAAACAAAACTCATGAGCGTTTATAGCTAATAAACAAACCTAAATATTATGCCACTTGCTTTCTAAATGTCGAAAGAGTTCTTAGACCCCATGACCGGTCACACACTCAACTGTACCTTCAGTGTCAGAGAGATTGTCCAACAAATACACAAGCTATAAATTGTGCAGTGTTTCTGCATTTTTAAGTAGTTGGAGTGTTTAATTACTCAAACTCGCCTCCCTCTCCATAGTAAGCTACCACAATATAGCGCATACGAGATAAAGGACGTCAGTACGTAATAACTGGTTAGGATCTAGAACTGAATCCATACTGAATTTTCCGTGTCTGCATCGCAATGCACAGAAGAAACCATTAATTTTGACAACCCTAATATATATATATATATATATATATATATATATATATATATATATATATATATATATATATATATATATATATATATAGATAGATAGATAGATATAGATTATTATATGTAATACTTACAGTGTATGAAAGTTATACAATGGTGCCTTGATAATTTTATTTTTAATGTGTATTCCAAACTATTACAGCTTAGCAATGTAACATAACAGCAATATAGTCATATTTACTTTGACAATCATTGGGTTTTGTTGAAATGAAATAGAAATTGTTTTGTAAAGACCAAACTCAGTTGCTCCAGCACACAAAAACTTTAATTAAATCCTCAAAATGCATTCTAGCTTTCATCACAATAAAAGATCAATCATAACAGAACATTAAATACTAACATATCTCCCTCTATACATTAATCTTGCGCCATTATCAGACACAAAATTATATTTGATTTCAACATTTATTCTTGGAGTCGGAGGCAAAACCTGCAGTAAGTAATTTTCTATTATTCAAACAAAATGACAACATTTCTTAAAGGTCCTGTGATGTGCTTTGAAATATGCTTTGTTATTCGATGTTTGACACAATCTCAACCAAAACATGAAGAGTGCGACATAATTTAGCTCCTCTTTTGAAAAAACACTTTTCTTTTTATTACCGCTCTGCCAGTGGAAGTGGTTGAGCTCAATTGCAAAAAAATTGAAAAGCAAGTTAAAAGCATCTTGAAGGAGGCGGGGCATGTCAGATACTAGAGAGCATTCGATTGGTTATGATTTACTGAGAAGGTGAAGTGGATAAAACCATTGATCCATTTAGTCAAAAGTAACAAACTACAAGCTTTACATGTTTATATCAGTTTATATCAGTATGTTTTACAACAACAATTTTGGTGGACTGGTGCGTTGGACGGCAGAGGGGTGTCGGGGACGATAGTGAGCAGGCGGGAGTATCGCGGACAAAAGTGAAGAGTTGGGGAGTCGCGAAAGAAAATAAAAATTAATGGTTTCTTCTGTTCCGGCACAAATTAAGACCTGCATAAAGTATAGTACAAATAGTACAAATTGCTTGATATTTACAGATGGAATGAACAAACTGAAAGTCAACTAAAAATATTTTACAGCTTTCTTCTTGTAGTTTCTTCAGTTGAGCTGGCAGTGAGTCACAAACAGACCTTGTTTGAACCTTCCCATTAAATGTCAATGAAGGACATTTACACTCAGTTATTCAAAGCTTTTCTATAAGTAAAGACTGACAGTTTAGTTGAAGGCTTCATGTCAGCTTTATCTCCAGAGAGATTCTTGTCTGCTTCTGAGAGATTTATGTCTTAAGGCTGTTTAATGATGGTTTGGAAGGTATTCTCCTACCTCACATGTCCTGTATGTGCTGTAATATAAAGTAGAGGAACAGACTGAACTCTTGCAGTGGATCTGTTAATGAAGCAGGAGAACTGCAGAATCCCTCTTTTCAGCTTTCGTCTCGCTGACGGTCTTAAAGACTTAATTGAGCAAAGATCTCACAGTTCAGTGTTTGTTGACTATCTAGTGTTGTTGAATTGCTTAATCAGGCATAAATGCAAAACTCAAGCTGTCAGAACTCCAGATGGATCCTTTATGATGCTTTTTTTATGTCGTCATCAGGATTAGTATGCCGTTAGAGTATAAAAGCTGCATAATGATGTGAGCAGAAAAAAAATACACACTAGTTTTTTTCCATCCTTTTACAGCATAATATTCAAAATTTTCCTTCTTATCAACAAGTGAGTGCAAGGATCTAGAAAGGCAGCATGCAATTAGTCCATTTTGGGGCTAAGCGATAAAATGAGAGCAATAATAATTAAATAAAGTCTGAAAATATTCCATACAAATGATCTTATACTTACACACTATTTTAATAGTGCATATTCTGTAATGTGCATTGTACTGTATATGGTTGCCATCACAACTTAACGACACAAACGTTTTGGTGAAAGTACATTAAAAGTAATACAAAAGTAGTATAACATACAATTCAGAGACTGTAATATTGTAATGTAGCCTATTACATTCAAATAAATTGTAATAAGTAATATTTAATGTGTTACATTTTAGAAGTAACTTACCCAATGCATTTTACCATCAGTACTATACTACTACTACTACTACTACTACTACTACTAATAATAATAATAATAATAATAATTTTAATAATAATAATAATAATAATAATAATAATAATTCCTTACAATTTTATTGCATTTTTCTGGACACTCAAAGCACTTTACACATTTTTTGGGTGAATCTCTGCATCCACCACCAGTGTGCAGCATTCACATGAATGACGTGACGGCAGCCATATTGTGCCAGACCACACACCACACACCAGCTGATTTGTGAAGAGGAGACAGGTGATGCAGCCAATTATGATATTGAGATGGTTTGGAGACCATGATGGACAGAGGCTTGTGGGCAAATTTGGCCAGGATGCCAGGGTTAAATCCCTACTCTTTTTTTTAAGGACATCCTGGGATTTTTAATGACCACGGAGAGTCAAGACCTCTGTTTAATGTCTCATCCGTAAGACGTAAACTGCACCAGTACTGCGCCAATAGAAAGGTTTTGTTTAGTGAAACCTATTCTGAATATCCATTTAATGAAAGCAATAAGCAAAGTGAAGAAATGGTTTACAGTGTATTTATAATTGCTAAGGTTTTTTTTTGTTTTTTTTTAAAATCAAGCCCTAGCTGTTTTAAATTCACTGTAAACCGTGGCTTCACTTTGCTTATTGCACTTATGATGTATAACAGTTAAGGGGATTTTAGCAGTTTTTTTTTTTTTTTTTTTACAAAATACCTTAGCATTATTAATTCACTTTAATCACAGATCCACTGGTGTTCTTTCTTTAATAATTGTTTCAGGAGAAAAAAAATTGATTAAACTTAAAGACAATTATCTTGACATTTATCAATATTAAATGATTGACAGCCCTGTAATTTATAAGTGATGCCTCCCAGGATTTCACCACTACATGTGCTCCCTTTGTTCTGCAGTTGCAATCTTTTTAGATGCAATAAACAAAATTAAATGTCTCACTGCCCTGGTTTACTATCACAGTTGTGTCAGAACACCTGATGAATCAGAAGAGGGCAAAAAATGTCAGTAAACTTTTTGTGAAGCATCCACTGAGAGCAGGACAGCAACTCTGAGCCACAAATGAACGTCCCATCCAGAGCTTTGAGAGTCTTTGAGCTTCTGTAATCATGTCATGTTCAGATGAAAGAGGCTCGACTCCTACAGAGGTTTTCAGATGCAGCATTCAGTAGCACATCTGCTTGATGGCACCCGAGTCTCTGGAAAACATCCAGGCCATTCAGAAGTGCATCTTTTCCAGTCAATAGCTCTGTTTTGCGCACTGTCATCCGCACACAATGCCAGGGGTCATTTGGATACTCTCTACCTTCCAGATGGAGAGTTTCATAATCAAATCCTGATTTTTTCTCTGTCCTGTTTATTTTACGGTGTCCTTGGCGAAGTGCCCAGTTATGAATGCTGTGAAACTGAAAAATGTGCTTTAATTGTGCGAGCGTAGGTAATTGATTGTTTAGGCCACTATTAGTCAGAGTTCAAAAGCTCTGAATGTTCTGTAAAGCTGTTTGTGAATAACTTTTCTGTTGAACCCGAGAGCAGTGGGTTATTAGAAGTGCTCGCTTGTATTTACTTCTGAAAGGAAAAGTTATTTTTCTGCTGTATTGGACTTTTCTAATATAAATGTGTTTGGCAGTGGATGTAATATGCTTTTTCAAGGTATTGGATGAATTGAAGAGTGTATATTTTCCTGATGAAGAAAGTTTGGTTTTCAGCTCACCCATAAACACTTTTCTTTGTAGAAAACAACAGAAGTTTGTCGTAATTCTTTGCTGGTGAGCATGATATCGATCTTTGTAATGGTCGCTCTGTTTCTGTGTGGATGATTGATTGTTCATTTCTCCTCTTCTAGTGGTTCGGGGATCTGGTCACACCGGTTTGGTGGGAGGACGTTTGGCTGAAAGAGGGATTCGCTCATTACTTTGAGTATATTGGAGCTGATTTCCTCTTTCCAAAGTGGAACATGGTGAGTTAGATTTTTCTCATTTTTTCATCTACTACCAAGCACTGTAAGATTTAAATATTTTATTTAATTTATATACTTTTTATCATTTTTATTTAAAGGGACAGTTCAGTTTAAATGTGTCATCAACAAATGTTGTATAATGTTGTTTTGACTGCAACACATCGTAAACTTCAGATTTATTATACTATATCTTTATTTTAGTGAACTGATGTTGAATCTTAAATTTCATGGTCAATGTTTTAGTTTACACTGTGTAAATAAAACTTAATTATACATTAGCCCCTTTCACACATACAGACCTTTCCGGAAAATTACCGGCAATTTTCCGGGAAGGTGTGTATGTGTGAACAGGCCCTTTTTTGAAAATACCGGTAAATTCGTTCTGGCTATTTTACGGAAAGAGAAGTTAAAACATTACCGGTAATTTGCCGGAATGCTGTGCTGTGTGAATGCAGAAGGAAGATTGCCGGAAAGAGCGCGTCCACGTCTGGAACGTGCTGACGTGAGACACCTACTTTAGCCAATCAGAACAGTCAGACGCATTCACGTGCGCACGGTTTATGAGAACAAAAGCCTTTGAATATTTTTCCAGACACCTTCAGCTGCTAGATGTTCGTCAGATAATGTCTGTATGTTCCTTCTTAATGCTAACTGTGTAAATAATTATTGATAAAATGTTTATGATAATCCGTTGTTTGTTTACCTTCAAGCTTTGCGTGTGCCCGTGATCGCCCATAGCGCCAGCACACACACATATCATGAACATCTCGACATGTGAAAGTGTTCCTCTATATGTTTTCATTGGAGTTGTACTCAATACTAATTCATCCAAAGAGTTTGTTATGTAGTCAAATGTTTACAAACACAAGCGCAGCCGGAAAAATTCCGTAACATCCTCGCCTGTGTGAACAGCGCTTTTTTGAGTTTACCGGTAAAGTCGTTCCGGAAATTTTCCGGATATTTACCGGTATCACTGTGTGAAAGGGGCTAATGTCTAGCACACATGCTGTCTTTTTATATTTTGTTGATTTTTATAAAGCTTCATCTTTCTAATTCAGGTTATTTCCATTCACAAATGGTGAAATAATGAGAACAAGTTAAGATCTATTTATTTTAATTATATGAGCATTTATTTAAATGCAGAGCTACAATATATTCAGTAAACAACTTTTTTAATAAAAAAAAGCTATTTTGTACTCAGTACCCCACCCACAGCTTCAATGACTATATCTAGACCATGATTCATAAATCATTGTATGTACTGAACCTCCATTTTGTGTAGTGTCACACCATACCTATATACTCACACACTATCCAGTGAGAGTTCTAAGGGTTTTCATGCTTTTCAGTTTCATGCTTTTCATGTTTTTCAGTCCTCTAAAACAAGAGCAAATCTTCAATGTTTTATACACACATGAGGTCTTGAGCTACTGCTCTAGTGCAAAGATTCACTTGAGCAGAAAACAATCCTTGCACAGTGCTTCTCATCTATTTTTTATTTGATTCAGATGTTAACTGTTGGTAAGACTCTTATGCTGTTAAAACAGTGCTCGATTTACTATACAAATGTCCTATTTTCTTCCCAATACAGTATTCTATTATTATTATTATTCAATTGTAATAAATCAATTAAGGAATTTTGCTAAATATTAACTTAAGTCAAAACGCAGCTTTTTTCAATGGGTTAATGACTATTTGAATTTTACAGATCTTAATGAATAAGTGTGCTAAATGGAGACATGCATGGACTGGTTCCTTATGAGCTTGTAAAGAACAAATTGTTTAAACTGTTTTAATGGTTATTTTGAGCGCAGTTGGAGTTTGACTTCATGTTCATATCTAATGGTGTTGAACTCAACATGCTTCTGTTTCATTCCCCCTTCATTGCCACAGCAACCAGTGCTTATAATATAATGTTTTATTGTCTTATAATAAAATGCCAGTCTATATGTAGTTGAACGTTAATGAAGTAAGCTTTGAATTATTGCAATGCCACAAATACATTAATGAGCTTTGGACTGTAAAAAAGTCAACAACATGTTTAAACACGATTCTCATCTGCGCTAGTCTGAAAATCAGCTAAACAATATTCTAAAACTACATTGAAAGTGTCAGACCTACATATGTGACAGTCTGATTCAGAGCTGCAATCTCTGCTAAACCTGAAACTGATTTTCAAGGACAACACGCTGAGACATAAAATAGAGCCCAAAATCACCCACATCTATCTGTTTCATCATGTTTCCAGAAGGACAAAGCAAAGCTTCATTTTGAAATGCTCAGTCGTCTCACTGGAGTCAAACAGGTTCAGTGATGCTCTGAATGCTTGTAAACCGGCCAAGAATTATGAGCCTGTTTTGGCTGACCAGGTGCAAACACCATCATCTTACAATATTTCTGGGTTATAGGCAATGCATTTTTTAATGTGCATGGGACAAAAATCCATTTGATTGTGCTCTACTAAATGAGAAAAAGGTGGGGAATTGTAAAATTATGGATAATGTTTACATTTTTCACATTGTTTTAATAAGTGAAGTTTATTTATAAACTCATTTCAAGAGGATCACAGCATGCCTATGATTGACCACAGCTGGTCCTGCATTAGCAACTCAGGATTCACCAATCAGATGATTCCTAACTCACTATAAATAACCAGTTTCTTACCTTATTTATCTCTGTCTTGAAGAATTTCCCATTCCACCCCTACTCCTCCCTTCTTTTCCTTGACAGGGTGACACAGTGGGGTAGTGGTTAGCACTGTTGCCTCACCGCAAGAATGTCATTGGTTCAAATCCTTACTTGGTTAGTTTACATGTTCTCCCTGTGCTTGTGTAGGTTACCCCGGTTTCTCTAGTTTCCTCCCACAGTCCGACGTGTAACATATGTGTATATAACCAAATTGGCACCATTGATGAGCTCTTAATCAGCAATTCCTATTTGGCATTAGCTATATATTAAGCGGAGGAGTTCTCGAGACTTACCTGAGCTCAAACTCCCTTCTCGCCTAACAAACAAGAGGAAGACCTGGGCTCAAGGATCTAATGAGCTCAGGGCTCACTCCTGGGACAGCATGCCAAGCACACTATAATAAATCATCAGTTAAGTGTGAAACAGAAATATTATAAACTTAATGAAAAAAAAATCATTAGTGGATTTAAGATTGCTTGCCATTAAAACATTTGAAAGCCCACAATATGGAAAGAAAATCTAAATCAAAATTGTCCTGTATGAGTTTTGTTTTAAATGTTTTTTAAGACTGTTAGACTCTGTACTGTAAAACCATCTTTTTTTCTTATTTTACTGAATTATAAAATAATGAATGCAATGTGATTCAATATGGCCAGAGTTGCCTCTTTCTAAGGACAAATCTAATAGACATACAAATAGTACTTCTACTTCTACTACTACTACTACTTCTGCTACTACTACTAATAATAATAACCATAATTATACTTACTCTCAGGGCAATTTATATCGAAGTTGATATTTATCCACACCATATCGGTGTTTCATAGCGTCTAATTTTTTAAGAGGTGTGTTATTAGCCAAATGCTCATCCCCCAACCTGAAGGACCTAGACATTAGAGCTGCAGGATTCTGGCTAAAATGAGAATTGCAATTTTTTTTGCCTAAAATAAAGATCAAGAATTTCTTACGATTCTGTAGATATAAAATAAAGGTTAATATAAGTGGGCTATTATTATTGTTATTCTCAAACATGTGGTAAAACAACAATAGGCTTTGTGTAGCTGTACTGTTGGGTAAAATGCTAAATTTTGTATAGACTTGGAATGGTGGACTTGAACAGACTTTAGATTTGTCCTGGTCATTAATGCTGATGATAATTCTGATGTTGAATTATTGTGTTTGAGACATATGCTTACAATCTTCTCACAATCATTTTATGCTTAAAAATTGTCACTTACGTGATTTTAGGGAATACAGAAGGTGTAATGTGGGTATTTTTGCATTTCGGCGGGTTTTGGATACTTTTGGGGCTGGAACCAGTCAGCTACAGTACATCTAGCAACACTGTGTGCTGTTTCGCTTTCACTGCTAAGAGTGGGGGTTCACTTCCCGTGCGGCTCCCAAATGATCACTCTGTGCCACAAACTGAATGTTATTTACTACATTATTACCTGTAATTCACAGCCTATGCAGGATCTCTTCAGACAACCACCCTCTCTATGGTAACAGCTGACGGTCAGCTCACATCACGTGTGATTTTGCGGTCGTAAATACATTACATGAAGACAGAAATGGCTTTTTTGAGGTGAATTATATCTTATAAATACAGCATTTGACTCCAACATGATGTTGGAGGTGTCCACGTCGCCGAGCAACGTATGTAAAACAATGAGAAGACTTGTGCGGCCACCATTGCTTCTCCCCTGAACTTGAAAATATGATTGACAGAATCGTAGAAATGTTGGATTAAGATTGTCTAAGGGGTCGAATCGAAATTGCAATCTTTTTACGATTAATTGTGCAGCTCTATTGGACATACGCACATACTGTACACTACGGCCAATTTAGTACTGTTGTTGGATTGTATGGGATACCGGAGAACCCGGTGAAAACCCACGCAAACACGGATATTATTGGTAATATAAGTTAATATAATTCTAAAATTAAGAAACTATTTCTTTTTCATGTGACCAAATTGTTTGAACAGTGTGGAGAGGCTTTGCTCGGCTCAATAAAAAAATTTGAGGGAAAATTTAACAGGATGCTAAACAAATGCAGAGGTGTTTGTGAGAACCACGCAGTAGTAAATCAAACACCTTTCGTGACTTTTACAGTCACTATATCTGAACATTATTAATCTTTTATGAGACTTTCTGGAGCACTGAGTCATAGCAAGAAAAGGACCTTAACCTTCTTCCCCTAAAAAAAATAGACTCACCAGCAGTTCTTCTGAAGTCTTTTCATTTTATATGACCATTAAATCTGACATATGTACTATGTAGCATTCATTAGGTTAACACACATTTTTATTA